GTGGGTGGCTGTGGTTGTGAGTGTGGATATCAGTGTGGATGAGTGTACGTGACTGTGTGCAGGAGTGTCAGTTTGTGAGTGTGTGGGGGTGTTTGTGGGGGCTGTGGGTGGCTGTGGGTGTGAGTGTATGTTTGAGTGTATGTGTGAGAATGTTCTCCTCTTATCAACACAATCCTGAACCGATAGCTCTGTTTTACTGCTCTTTCTTTCCCCTTCACTCTCCCACTTTGCAGTGGTTGTTGGACTTTTACTGGGCTATAAAATCTGCCAATCTGGGAACTATCGATAATGATTGATGAAAATAACAGGATGTAAAAGGAATGGACCATTTGGGACACTTATTCCCCTGTGGTTTCTTACCAACATGAGTGTACCCTATTAATTATGAAACATAGATGTCAGAGCAGCAGATCCTGGGGAATGGGTGGCTGGTGGGAGGGAGGGATTCATGGGAAATGGGAAGTGCACATTACTTGAATGTGGGAAGAGAAGCTGAATTGGGAGCCCAAGGCAAAGGCTGAAGTCACAGTTTTACTTAGAATCATCTCTGTGGTTGTACAACGATCTGTGCGAATGAGCTTACAGTCACATTTCCTCAGCAAGAGACAAATTTTAGAAAGAGAAACCTCAGATCACAGAGGCACAGGTCATTAAACACAGTTTCTACCTCTTAGGTTTTATATAATAACGGCATTCTTACCTCTTAGGTTTTAAATAATTGTGGCATTGATTGTTTAGCCCCTTTCTTCTTTATATTTTTCTTCAATCAATATTATAGTAAAAAGCTTAAGAAAAAAATAAGAAAAGCATTTTATGCTTTGAAACTCTTTGAAAATTAGCCTTCTGATTAAAATATTTATTCATTTTCTTAATTCTGTTCACCTATACATTTAATAATCTTTAAAGTGGTTCCTGATTATTCAAGAGATGCTTATTCTCTTTCTTTCAAATACTTCAAGTGTCTATTGCTGGCAGAATTCTGACAGCCTCCAAAGCTTTAGCAAAGCTCACCAAGTTGGTTTAATTCAGTAAAAGCCTCATTAACTTTACTAGATCAGGGAGAGTCTCTCTGCCAAAAATTAACCTATTTAGCACAGAAATGGTCCCTCTCTGCTTGTAATTGTCATCTCTCCCAGATCACTGCAGTCACACCGTCACTCTCCTACAAGACTGAGATCTTTGCAGCTTATAGAATGATTTGCTATTTTACAATATTGGGATCATTTAAAGGGCTATGCCTATATTTTCTCAAATATAGTCTATGTTGTTCCAAATATAGATTTTTACCATAAGAGTTATAGCAATGACTTATCTTTTAAAATCTCATTCTGGCACTAATGATAAAGTGCTATCAGTAACATTTATTTCAGATTCTTCGTTTAAACTTGTTATTTCTAATTGCAGAAAATGAAGGAAGTTGCTAACATATTTCAAGGGAAAATTTTTTTACCACTGATTTAAGCAGTAATTGGAAAGAGAAAAGTAGCATGCATGAAAAGCAGTAATAGTACTTTCTTATTCTGTAATCACTGAAGAGTGGGAATTGTGTATTATTTGATTTTTTATTAATACTTGTTAAGGCAATATGTCAAATTTGAATACTTTTGTTCACTTTCATCAAATTAGGCTCTCATTGCTTTTTTAGCAGCTCTGGCTTACAAAGCTTAAGTTATATTTGTAAAATGAGCAGTTAAGTGTTTTATTGATGGGAAAAATTTACATTGGAATGAAGATATATTACTTGGAATCATAAAGTGATTGAGCTAGAAGGCAACTTAGAGATAATATACCCCAATGCTCACTTTGAGTTTTTATTTTATTATTTCACAGATGAGAAAACTGAGTCCCAATGAATTGTTTAATTCCACAGATCTACTCAGCAGGGGGAAGAATTTATTTCATTTTTCAAATAAGTCAGTAATGTATATTGCCTTAGATTAAGTACCTCAAAAGCACAGTTTATTTTCAAACTCTATCAATAATGGTAATATTCAGTATATGTCTGATGTTTAATGAATATTATTTGCTATGGTCTTATGATTATTACATTCTTTGCAGGCTAAATAGATAACAAATTAAGTCATTGATATTATTGAGTTATTCAGAGATCTTGTAAATATAAATAAAATCAGTATCTTCCATTTTTTATTAATTGAATTTCTTGGGTTTTCGTGTTGCTGGCAAGAATTTTAAAAAGCAATTGACTTTTAAGATGAAATTATATTCTTATCTAAACCTAATATAGGCAGAAATATAGAACCTCCATGACCAAGAGAAAAATTATTGAACCTCGACTCCCTCAGGCAAGTCAAAGCCAGACCAAAGTGCTTAAGGTGACCTACCTCCTTTTGAAAAGAGAAATACCCTAACTCCCAGCTCACACTTTGCAAAAGAAATGTTATATCTGTGTCAGTCATGAACAAACTGCTTCTTTAAGTAGCTTCAGGCTTTAAAGTCCCTGAGACTAGCCCTTAAGAATTGTTACAGCATTTCTTATCTGGCCTTTTTCCTAAAACTTTCAGATCCCAATGCTTAACTTCATCATGTAAAATAGGACTTGTTGTTTTCTTACAGATAGATAAGGCAGACTTCACCAACTTGTATTAATGCAACAGGGTTGAGATGAATCCTGGTCTTTTGTTTTATAAACACAACTTTCAAATGACAAAGAAACTAAAAGTCACAGTAATATTTCGAAAACATTCTTTGGAATCTCTCCAACAAGTTAACAGCTTACACCAAATGAAATACCTTTGGTCTTTTCCCCTTCTCACAGAATGGAGTTGTTGCCAGTACATTGCAAATTTAGTTAGCTGCCTCCTAGCTTGCCCTCCAGCTGCCATGTGTAGAAAATCTTTGTCTCAAGATAGGGAAGACGGTCCAAGATGCCTATAATCCACTGAGACAGGGAGGACTCATTCATGCCTTGCTTAAAATCAAGTTTCTATTAGGTGTGCTTTGCATAGAGCTGCCAGGTCCAGGCCACCTTTCATGAAATCAGGTTGCACAGTCAGCAACAGGAATGCACAGGAAGAAAAATAGATTATACTTTTTCTCTTAAGCAAGAGAAACGCTTTCTTAACTAACTGAATCAAAACAAAGCCAAAACCACATAAAAGGCATTGGTTTCACCTATCAACCCATCATCTAGGTTTCAAGCCCCACACGAATTAGGTACTTGTGCCAATGTTCTCCCTCCCCTTGCCCCCGACAAACCACCATGGCACATGTATACCTATGTAACAAACCTGCACGTTCTGCACATGTATCACAGAACTTAAAGTAAAATAAAAATAAATAAATACACAAACAACTAAACACTAAAAAAAAAAAATTGGTTTACCTGGAATTACCTGAGTTTTCTTACATGATAATGGTCAACCAGAAGACTGAGTCACAGTCATTTGTTTGGTCAAATCAGCCTCTATCTGAAGTTATATCACTTTCAATAAAGATAAATCCCAAGGAAAGCTTATATAAGAGACTTTATTTGGAAAATGTGTAATCCAGTTGACAATAGCTTTGGAGAACAAAAAAAAAAAACATTTCATAGGAATAACCCTCCTGGCCTCTTAGGATATTTTTTTCTCTGAAAAGAAAAGGAAAAAATATTATTCAATTTCCAAAGATTCAAGTAAAATTAATAAGATTTTAAAACCATCTTTCCTATCTTTGAGTTTTTGAGTCTGAGTTGTCAAGTCTGCTGTTTAACTTTTAACTCGTAGTTAACACAGTATTTAATGCCTTTTCTAGTAATTATTTCTAATAATAATAATTCTTTCTAAAAGGAAGAGGAAATCTGAAGTATTATACCTCAAACTGAGATATAATGAAACATTTTAGTTTCTTTTTTATAAACATTCTCAAATATATTAGTATATTAAATCAATTGAAAGCGATTAACTTGCTTTGAAATATTGTCTGAAAGCTCAGGCCTGGCAGTATTCTAGGGTCTTGGGCTACATTGGTGATCAAAACGGACAATGGCCTTTCCTTCGGAGGCCGTACTGTGAAAGGGGAGAGTAAACATTAAACTAATAATCATCAAACAACTGAGTAATCAATATTATACCATTTGGGCTAGGTGCATTGGCTCATGCCTGTAATCCCAGGACTTTGGGAGGCCAAGACGGGTGGATCACTTGAAGCCAGAAGTTCCAGACCAGCCTGGCCAACATGGTGAAACCCTGTTTCTACTAAAAATACAAAAAAAAAAAAATTAGCTGGGCATGGTGGCACATCATGGTGGCACACCCAGCTACTCGAGAGGCTGAGACACGAGAATTGCTTGAACTCGGGAAGCAGAGGTTGCAGTGAGCTGAGATTGTGCCACTGCACCTCAGCCTGGGCAACACAGTGAGACTCCATCTAAAAAAAAAAAAATATATATATATATATATATATACACACACACACACACACACACACACACACACACACACACCATTTGAATTACAGTTACAGTTCTAGAGTTATGGAAAGGGGCTTATAAAAAGCATGGTGGGGAAGAGTCCCCCAAGGAAGTAGCATTTTAACTGAAGCCTGAAGAATGGACAGAAGGCCAAAGACTAGTCGGAGAAGAATGTTCCAGACAGAGGAGGCTCTGAGGGGGAACAGGTTAGGTTTGTCCAGAAACTGAAAGGACGTATTTCATACAATAGGTGATTTTGAGGCAGAAAGGTATAAAATGGGGCTGAAGGGTTTAAAAAGCCTTCTCTGACCTGGAAGGATTTTGGTCTTTATCCTAAATGCAACAGGAAGTCATAAAAGAGTAATTCACTTTGTTTCATACAGGGCTGCTTTATGATTCCCACGGGTCTTGGGCACCTCTGTCGGTCCCTTTTTCTATAAGACAGATAGAAGACAGGGGGATAATAGATACATATATAGTAGATAAATAGACACATATATAAATTTTATTATAGCACTGGCGAAAAGATTAAGATAATCCAGACAAAACTATATTCATTTTTCTTCTGATATTAAAAGAAATTAAAACATTTTTGTGGTCCCCTAAAATTGTCATGAACTCATGGCCCTGTGGCTACTGTGTCCAATGTCTAAGGCAGCCTTGGTCTTATCAGGAGAGAACAGATTTTAGCCAAGGTAAAGCAGAAAGCTATTACACAGCTGCAGGCAAGAGAGGGGGGCACACATAAGCAAGAAAAAAATCAATAAAATATTAATTTCATGTTTAAACAGAAAATAAAAAATATAGCATCTACTCAGACACTAAAGTATATATTAAGAAACTTAAGCCAATATTTACTAAAAAGAAAAAAAAAATCACACTATGCTCAGTTAAAAAAAAAATGACAGAAGAGAATAGGAGAGAGACAAGGGAGGCAAAGTCAGAAAGCTGAGTGGTGAAAAAGAACTAGAAGCCAAGAGGGAGGAGGGAGGTAGAATTGTGGAGAGAGAGAGGGGAGAGAGAGAGAGAGATACAGGGGAGCAGAATAACAGAAAGGAATAGGGAAAATCAAGTGGGACTGTATGTGAAAGCTCTTTGAAAGCAAATCTGCTGTAAAAATGTAGGAGAATGTAATAGGAACCCAGGGAAAAATTTTCTTGGGAGCCTGGAGCCAATACGTTAAAAATCCTCTAATGATCACCCATAGTCCTTTGGAGGAAATCAATAGAATGTGAGCCATTATTGAAATAGTCATGTTGGAAGGACAGTGCTCTGAAAAGGAGCATGTGTAGGGCTTGTTAAACCAAACATTTCTGCAAAAAGCTGCCTTAGTAGAAAAAGCTGGCAGGCATTTGTAACCAGAATCATGTGTATGCTTGCTAGAAAAACCACATATGGGAATTTTTGCTGTTTACCTTGTTCTCTTGGTAAACCCCTCGGCAATACTGTTATGTGAAAAAATTCCAAGATGGTTTATAAGTCAATGTACTCTAATAACCACTCCCTCTCTTCCTCCCAATAGAGTTTGATAACATTTGAGCCCCTGTCATAGTGCCTTTTTAAGCTGTTCTGTAAAAGGAACAAGGGGGACAACCTTTAAGCCCATCAGGATGCCTGGCTGGCTGGGGTGAGAACCTTTTCTTGACACTTCTACCCACTACTCTGCAGTTGTGATGTTTACTTTTATGTGTCAACTCGGCCAGGATACAGTACCCAAGTAATCAGTCAAATTCTAATCTAGGTGTTGCTAGGTATTTTGTAGATGTGGCCAATACTTAACAATCAGTTGATTTTAAGTTCTATAATGTGTGTGGGCATCACCTAATCATTTAGAATGCCTTAAAAGCAAAAAACTGATGTTTCCCTGAGAAAGAACAAATTCTGTCTCAAGATAAAGATGTTATATTAGTCTGTTTTAAGCTAAAATAAAGACAAACCTGAGACTGGGCAATTTACAAAAGAAAGAAGTTTAATGGCCTTACAGTTCCATGTGGCTGGGGAGGCCTCACAATCATGGTGGAAGGCAAGGAGGAGCAAGTCACATCCTACATGGATGGCAGCAGGCAGAGAGAGCGAGCTTGTCCAGGCAAACTCCCATTTTTAAAACTATCAGATCTCATGAGAGTATTCACCAAGAACAGTATGAGGGAGACCAGCCCCATGATTCAATTATCTCCCACCACGTCCCTCTCACAACACATGGAAATTACTAGAGTACAATTCAAGATGAGATTTGGGTGGGGACACAGAGCCAAAGCATGTCAGATGTCAATTCCTGCCCAAGAGTTTCCAGCCTGCTGGTCTGCCCTACAGTGTTCACATTTGCCATCTCCTGCAATTGCAATTGCATGAGCCAATTCCTTGAAATAAATTTTATATATATATATACACACACACATATATATATATGTATATAAATATACACACACACACATATATATGTATATATATATATACACACACACACAAAATTTATAATATATGTAATATATATAATGTATATAACATATAATGCATGTTTCATAAATAATATAAATGTATACATTTAATATATAGATCTCACAGATATAGTTCTGTTTCTGTGGAGAACTCTGACTGACACACATTTTGATACCAGGAGTGGTTCTAGAGGAATGCAGTCTTAAGGTTGAGGTTTCTAAATTGGCTCTGGGGATTCCAGAAATGTTTCTCTAAGCCGATCAAACTTAAAGGCACTAATGACTCTATTTCTAGTGGTGAAGAGGGCACTGATACTCCATACTATCATGTTTTCATCAGCTTGGGCTGTCATATCAGTAAACCACAGACTAGGTGGCTTAAAGAAAAATGTATTTTCTCACCCTTGTTCTGGATGCTGATAGCCCAATATCAAGGTTCTGCCTCATTTAGTTCCCAGTGAGGACTGTCACCCTTGGAGATGACAGCCTTCTCACTATGTCCTCACATGGCCTTTCTCTCGTGCCTGCCACAGAAAGAGAAAAAGCGAGCTCTCTGATGTCTCTTCTTATAAGGACATTCATCCTACTGAACCAGGGCCCCATCCTTATGTCTTTATTTAACCTTAATTGCTTTCTTCCTCCAAATAACAGTCACACTAGTGGTTAGGGCTTTAACATATGATTTGAGGAGGGATCACGAATATTCAGTCTGTAACATCTGGCAATAAAAATACACAAAATACTATTCTTGGGTATCCCCAGTCAAATGCTTATAAAGGCGAAGTTCTGGGTGAATGCAGTATTTGATATCTTAGAATATTTTTATCAAACTAAGTAATATAAAAATTAAAGTGGTTTATTGCTCCTAACTGTAATAGAGGAAGGGAGGAAAAAGAAAGAATTAGCTTAGGGCTTCAAATTCCCAATTCGAATGCAGCATAAATTACCTGAAAGCTTCCACATCTGCCCTGAAAGGTGGTGGTAGCTGATATTTCTGAAAAGCAAAGGCAGAGATTCATCCTATGAGTGGCTAAATTACAATACAAATTGAATTCTCAACCTTGTAGTGTGGGGCTAAACTACTTTTTATTGGGGCGAATAGGCCTGTGAGTAATGGATCCAATCAACCATCTCAACAGAAGCCAGAAATAGAAATAAGGTTATCCAGGAAAGATTTGTAAAGGACCTGCTTGTCTGATGGCTTAGACCCCTGTGAATTATGTGGACAACTGACAAGGTTTTCGGACAGCAGAAACACTTCTGGCTTGGATTGAAAAGGGCCCAAACACACTAGACATACACATGACAATAAAGAGTTGGAGACTGGGGTGAAGCAGCTACAAGTCAATGAACACCAAGGACCACGGGGAGCCACACCTGGATCGGGCAAGGAAAGATTCTCCCTTAAAGTTCTTAGAAGGAACCTGGCCCTGCTGGCACCTTAACGTAGACTTCTAGACTCCAGGACTGTGAGAGAATACATTTCTGTTGTTTCACTCCACCAAGTTTGATGTAATGTGTCACAGCAGTCTAAGGAAACTGATATCGCAACCACACTGGCAAATAAGCGATTCACATGGTGCTCCCTATTGTGGAAGACAGATACACAGAGAAATTGTGTATCTGTTCTTCCTTTTTGTAATATTTGGTAATTCAGGGGAAATGTGGCTTTAAGAAAATTTTTTAAGTTTTACTTATATTTTTTCAGCTTTTCCAACATCCATAATAATTCCCGGTATATCGAAGGATTGATCTATGTAAAGATGATCTGAAAAGAAATATATCAAATTTCCTTTCTCTTGACTCAGACAGTATTGCTGTTATTCATTATTAGTAAGGAACAAACAGAGCAAGTAGAGAAAAGGTTGAGGGGAGATTAAAGAGAAGGCAAGAGGGCAAGCTCATTTTAAATGCATGCCCTTTGAAATGGCACCAGAGGCCCGAGCGGCAGTTGGCAAAGATCTAATGGGAACTTTCAGGCTGCAACTTCATAACATAAACAGTGTGGGTTGGAAGAAATCTCGGATATCATCTCAACTAAAGACATGATATTTACTAGAGGTACAGCGTTGGGCATCATTTCGGCATACCTAGGAGGTGAATGCATGAAGATCAGGCCTCTGAGGAGCAGACACTAGCAGGATACAGGCACAACTCTGATGTCTGCACCCAATAATTTGGAGGCAGCCCAGCAGAAGCAGAGGCACGGTTCTCAATCAGTGTGCTATGACACACCAGTGTGGCTCTCTAGGAGGCGGGCCCATCACATTTTAGTCACTGTGTAGGATTTATGGGTCAGGATGAACCTGGAAACCATCATTCTCAGCAAACTGACACAAAAACAGAAAATCAAACACCGCATGTTCTCACTCATAGACGGGTGTTGAACAATGAGAACACATGGACACAGGGAGGGGAGCATCACACACTGGGGTCTGTGGGGTGGGGAACTAGAGGATGGACAGCGGTAGGTGGGGAGTTGGGGAGGGATAGCATGAGGAGAAATGCCAGATATAGATGATGGGGAGGAAGGCAGCAAACCATACTGCCATGTATGTACCTATGCAACAATCTTGCATGCTCTTCACATGTACCCCAAAACCTAAAATGCAATAAAATATATATTTTAAAAAAAAGATTTATGGGTCATAATCATACGACTTCAGAGATATCTTTCACATGGAAGGTTGAGCTCAGTGAGTCCCGTTCCATAAATATGAGCTATTTAAAACTATATATTTCAAATAAAGGTCTTATGTTTACCAGAATATGAAAAAGTATAAGTAGGGTGAGGAAAATAAATGTTTCTAAAGAAAACAACACAGTGGCAATGTGGTTAAATAAGTCCAAGAGAACAAAGACAGTGGTGAGTGTTTTGTAAGACATTACACTAAAGTCTTATTTGTATTATAGTTAAATCCAATCTTTAAAACTGTTTGGGGAAACTTTGATCACTTCCCATATGCTGCTAACAATTGCATGATTTCAAAAATGTTGAAGATGACTGCAATAAGGGCTTTCATTATACTTTATAGACTCATGTTTTACACAAGGAACCACCAACCTTGGTTATCTCTGCTGTCAAATCACAATAGACTGAAAACAGCCAATTAGAATTGGGAGGGTTAAAAGAGGAAAGCAACAGCCAGGTAATAAGGAACTCAGCACCTAACCACTGGTTAGCTTCCTAGAAAAAGGCCAATTTGTCACAAAAACTGTGCCTCTCAGATATTGCCCTAATGCCTTGAGCTTAAGCTGGGTTCCCACTGAGACTCAGCCATGTGAGGGCACATTAGGTGGGCTGGTGAGGTACGCACATGTTATCTATTTTTAAGAAAACAAGAATCTTGAAGCCTCCAAGAAAAAAAAAATTATTTGAGGCACCCCATTGTGTGTTTGTTGTTCCTGTTGCTCTTCAGTCAAGTCCCCACGAACTTGTCTATTCTTAAGAAATGATTTGGCTGGAAGTAAGAAAAGAGAGACTTGTTACCACACAAAATCTCTGTGAGACCTCGAAAGCACAGTAAGGCAAAAAAAGGAAAAATGTTCTCACCACTTCCTAAGAGTAACTTCAGAGATGCGACCCTATCACAATAGGAGCTTGCAGACATCACAAGAAGTGGTTCCAGAGTCAGTGAGTCCTCCAGGGGCAGTGAGTAACAGAGCCTTCACTTATTCACAGTGGCAGAAGCAGGGGCCAGCCACGAAGCATCGTGGGCAACAGTCCCCTTAGGGACATCTTGCCTCCACAGCAGCAGGGACAGCTTGAGAGTTGCAGATGACAATGACTCAAAGAAGTGATAGAAACACCTGTGATTGCAAAGCCAGCAGCCGTGACAGATTTGAGGAGTCTTCATTTTTATTCCCTGCCCCATTTCTGTTCCTATTTGTTAGTTCTTGGGAAAGATTGGCTACATTAAGAAAAGGCATTAATTATTTGACAAACGCTATTTAAGATAGCAGGTGTTGCATAATACATTTTAGTAGTGTTTTCATCAAAATGGTTCATTTTTCTAAAGTTTTTTCACTTGAGGGTGTATGTTTCAGTTATCTGTGAAATTCACTTACGTGGAACAGCTCACTCCCTGACAGAGTCAGATAAATAAGCTGTTGTTGTAATAGAGTGCTAAGCACTGAACAAATTTGATTAAAGATGGATTTAAGAACAATTTGTATTAAGACAATTCTTTGTCTAATTAGGAACAAAGGGACTTCTATTTTCAATAATTATCTTTTAAAGTTGGGCTAGATTTTGTGAAGGATTGATTATATTGTCCAATTCCTTTTTTAATGTTATTATTCTTCGTTTCCTTCCCTGCGATAACCTAGCTGCTAAAAATGTAAATTTATGGCTGACTTCCTCTGTAGCATAAATATTCAAGTTCTGAAGTCAGCGGAGTTGCCTCAGAAAGATTTCTTTTACCAAGGGAAGGCAAGCATTTAACTGCTTCACAGCTAGCTGTCTTCTCCTGCTTGTGGGCTGCCTCTGCCATTCTTTGATGCTATAGCAGACTATGAAATTAACAACTGCGTATTATGATACTCTGCAGGGCATCATGCATCTGGCCCATGGACACATGTTGGGCAGTGTGACATGGATGAGCAACTGCAAATAGAGATCAGATTCCTAAATTAGATTGGCTTTTTTTTTTCTTTTTTGCAACAGTGGCTTTCATATCTAATTTGCATACTGTACATTATCAACCCAAATGCTAATAAAATGTTCCCTGAGCAAATTGTTGTTTTGAATAGCAAAATGAAGTCTGTGAGAAAAAGGAGAAAGTACTAGCCGGGAGAATTTCAATGTACATGCATCATGTAATAATTTTTTTTTCCATGTTTTTCCATTAAAATACTGGGTTTCTTTGTCTAGAATTGTTTTTAAGTGAGAAAGATGTATGCTTGTATCTGGACTTCAGGCTGGCTATCTCACATCTGAGGCCAGAACAAAAGGTAGAAAATGTGCAAACTGGGAACCTCACCAACAGGGTTCAGCCTTGAACAAGATCACTGATGAGTCATTCTGGAAAAGCTGCTTCATAAAGAAATATATCATCCTAAATTTCAAGACAAGCAATCTCAGATTTCAAGACAAGGCAAAAAATTTCAAGACAATTTCAAGACAATTAGCATATCATTTCCAAAAAAATGATATGAACCTCACAATCTAGGTTTGAGGATAAAATGAAATATACATTCATATACATATGAAAATGCAATGCTTAATACAGTGCACATTCAGGGTAGACATTGTCAACTCACCTTTAGCTTTAAAAAAAAAAAATAGGAACAAAAAGAAACTACCCAGAAGGCCTGAAAAGATGTCATATTTTTAGACAAAAGGGTGTGGGTGCCATTTTTGTTCTTGTCAGCTCAGAAGAGGCTTTCCACCGCCATCCACTTTCCCCCAAGAAATGCATTGTCATCTTAGTCCAAACAGGTATCCTAAAGTGAATTTTTAAAAATCCATATTTTAGGCTCATATCCAGCTATTTTATGGGAGCATAGAGCTTAAGCAACAAGGACGGATCTTTTAAATAGTTCTCGATTCTGACTTTTAAAGCTAACAAATGGAAGATGCTTTATAGGAGATACACCAACAAAATACAGGAAGTTCCAAAACATGCATATTCACTCTCACCTTCATCTGTGACTGACACAGTGCCAAGACCTGCATCAGCTCTTTTTCTGAGCCTCTTCCATAAACTGAAGTGTCCTATAAAGTCTGGTGAAGTACTGATAATTTCTCTGCGAATTCTCCAGAGACCTAACAAGGGAGTAAAGAGGGCACAAAAAGAAAATGACAATTTTTTCTGCTTGATGGGATGAGTACCAGCTGCTATATGGAATGGGTAAGTGGCTCAAAAATTATTAATTCCAGTGTATGCATTATCCAACTATCATATTTAATAAATTAAAAACATAAATTTTTTCAGCCAGGCACAGTGGTACATGTCTGTAGCCTCAGATACTCAGGAGGTTCAGGTGGGAGGATCACTTGATCCCAGAATTTAAAGGCTGCAGTAAACCATGATCACATCACTGCACTCCAGCGTGGGCCACAGAGAGAGACCCTGGCTAAAAATAAAAGTTAAAAAAAAAAGACTTTTTCAAATATAGAATACAGATATATCAAAGATATATTTAACTCATTAATGACAAAACCTACAGAATAGTAAAACTGGTTCAAAGCAAAATTTGAAAGACTGAGTATATACGGGTACTGAAAGAAAGAATGCTGGATCCTATGTGAAGTCACATGTCCTGCCGTCCTGTAAAGCTGTAACCTTCAGAGTCTTCGTTTTGATGAACAAAAATTCCTTTCATCCTTACAGGATAAAATGTAGATGTTAGCAACATGAAATTGTGCATAGGCCTGATCCCAATAGATAGTAAATAGATGTTCAAAACAAAGATACATTTCCAAAAGATTTAAATAACTATTAAATATTAGTATTAAATGTAAGTATTAAATATTCCAAAATATTCTGTTGTAACATTGCAAAAACAAGCATTCATCTTTTTGCCTTTTTTTCAAGTTCTAGATAATGTTTCTTAACAGCATGTGAGTTATCTGGATAACTTGGACATCCTCTCAAGAAATGTTTTTCTGCTTTTTCTAAAAGGTGATTTGAGAGAGTTGTAGTGATTTCAATGCCCTTCACCATCTGAAATAGCCTTTCATCTTTGAAAACCCAGCTCAGAATACCCCCAAACTCCCCACATTAGAATTAGAATCCCTCAAACTCCCCACATTAGAATTAGAATCCCCCAAACTCCCCACATTAGAATTAGAATCCCCCAAGCTCCCCACATTAGAATTAGAATCCCCCAAGCTCCCCACATTAGAATTAGAATCCCCCAAGCTCCCCACATTAGAATTAGAATCCCCCAAACTCCCCACATTAGAATTAGAATCCCCCAAACTCCCCACATTAGAATTAGAATCCCCCAAACTCCCCACATTAGCAATCTCCTTTGTGCTATCTGTACTCGTTTCTGGTTTTGTTTGCTTTGTTTTGTTTTTTTGGGGGGAGTTGCTTGTTTTGAGATAGAGTCTTGCTCTGTCATCCAGGCTGGAGAACAGTGACAGGACCTCAGCTCACTACAACCTCTGCCTCCAAGTTCAAGCGATTCTCCTGCCTCAGCTTCCCAAGTAGCTGGGCCTACAGGCACACACCACCACACCTGGGTAATTTTTGTATTTTTAGTAGAGACAGAATTTTACCATGTTGGTCAGGCTCCTCTTGAACTCCTGACCTCAAGTGATCTACCCGCCTCGACCTCCCAAAGTGCTGGGATTATCGGCAGGAGCCACTGTGCCCAGCCATGTACTTTTAAGTTATAACAGCAGTTGCCAT